AAACTGGGATTAGGGAAAAGACGTTAGTTTCGGTCACAAACACAACTCCATCTGTCATATACGTGTGGCACAGGTCTACCAGGGAAAACTAAAGGAATGTACTAACACCTAGTAAATATGCTTTTGATGGTAGAAATGACTCTACACTTGACACTTGAGATGCACCCCTCGCGGTGGTATAAATGTAGTAAGAGAACGGAAAAGTTCTTTTGCTACACTATATCGGCGATGAATTTACTGGTGGCTTGGATAAAACCTTTTAAACACTGGAAAAGTTTAGAGAACAATTGAGACAACTCGTATTCACAAGCGTTTTTGCGGAAGAGTTACAGACATAAACTTTAGAAGAAAAAACTTTGGAAATTGATTTTCTGTAGGGTGAGCCTACGAAATTTTGCAGAGCTGATGATGCCTAACACATTAAACCCAGTTTGGAAGGAACAGAACATCAAGGCTGCTTTTTGTAACCGCTGTGTTTTGCCTTAATATCATTACAACAAATTGTACCCAATCGCCCTGTAATTGGATGGTTAATCCCCCAAAACAACAAGCACACTTCAAAGGCACATTTTTTTTCACACACTTGGGTGTATCCTCTTTGTTCTCAACAGCGCACACCCAAGAACACAAATAAAATAAAACTATGTGGCAAGAGCAAGCAAACATGCAAAAGAAAGAACAGAAAGACCAAGCTGGAGAGGGCAAGTATAGCTGGCACCGCTGCTATGTAGTGCTCGATTTCTCTGTACAACAAGAGTGGAAGTGCTGCGCCAGTTGCGCCATACTGCGGCAATCTGACCAGCTGCTCATAAATGGCAATTTTTGTGATAATTGTCGATCAGAAGTGTAAACCGCCGAATCCAGCCTATTATTATTGTCGACCAAGCAACACCAAGTGTTGGCTCAGTCCTTGGCCACATCCACATCCACTAGATCTAGATGCAGCCAAGGACTCGGTCGCATCAACATCCACTGGAGTTCGATCACGTTGTAAAGCGGTTTCTTCGCGGAGCCCGCATTGCTGTTATCGCCCTAGTTTCTCCACAAAAGTGGTGGCACCAACATGAGTAACTGTCAAATATTTAATAATATGGTGAAACTTCGATAACTTGTACCAGCCGGGAACGCGGCATGATCATGCACTAAACGACAGTGCGTGTTTACAAGTGCAAATGTTCATCTTCTGACGTGCCACATCGTGACCAATAAACGAATACAATACCACAGAAGATGTCGCCCAAAATATCTACCAGAAAGTCATTTCTTCCTTTTTGCCAGAATACGGGAAAGATCATACGTGGCTGGCACTTTTACAAGATTTTTTATTGCCAAAGAGAATTTCGAAACTATTGGTCCGAGATACGCAGCGACAGAACGGACACCGTCGGCTTTGCACGATATATTCTATCGCGAAATGATACTTAGTGATGGCCGACAGTTTCATTGAGACAGAAAGTGGCCTCGTGGACTCGGTTCATCTCCTGGTTAGTTGCGCGCAAAACGGCGCCAAAGGTGCCTACGTTGTCGCTGCTGGGCCGTGCTGTACCGTGCGCACGGATTTGCTGTGTGAGTTTCTTGTCCCCATTTTGCCCCAGACCAAGCACAGATGAACAGAGTAGTGTTTAATTAGCATCGGGATAACAAATTTCTCCCAAGCAAAGTACATCGCGATTATCTATGCTTCGTTTCGCACATTAGATGCAACGCTGTGGTGGCTAGCGAAACTATGTCGTAAGTACGTTCACATAATGAAATAGTTCCATGCTTTTTTAACACCCAGAATATATTTTTCTTGTCGTTTCAGGCCGAGTATAAAATGGGCATGTTTTGCGCTACATATACACGCACACTCACGTGCTTGCACGCGAAGGTGATAAGTCTGGTAAACGGAGGTGGAAGCACTGTAGCAATTGCGCCGTTCTGCAACAATCTGACCTTCTGCGCATAAACGACAATTTTGAGATAATTGTCCATTAGAAGCATGGACTGCCAAATTTCGCAAATATTATCATCGACCGAGCAACACTGAGTGTTGGCCATTAAAAAGGATGCGGCCGCATCCATACCCAATGTAGTTCGATCACATGTTCGATAATGATCACTTAATACGCTTCGTTCATGGGGCTTGTTCTTGTCTCATCACTGTTATCGCCGTGGATTCCGCGTAAAAGTGGTGCCACCAACATGAGTAACTGTGAATTATCTACTTATGCATTAAAACCTCTATCCCACCAGGAAAGCAGCATGATCATGCCGCCTAAAGTACCCATCAAAACGCCTGTTCTTCTTTTTCGCCCAAGTGCGGAAAAGATACTGGGCTGAAACTCTCACACAATCGTTTCATAGCACACATTGGCGAAGCAGCATTTCGGAACTATTACAGGGTTCAGGATACGCAATGACAGAGATAGCGACAGAACGGATCAGCTTTCCACGATACATTTGTGCGCTTCTCTACTGCAATATGATACTAATTGACAACTGACAGTTTCATTGAAACACGAAGTGGTTGCGTAGACTATCATCTCTTGGTTAGTTGTGTGCAGCGCGGTGCCTATATGCTGCCCATTCCGTCGCTGCCCGGCGACTCGCTGTAGTGTGCGTGGAATTTGCCCTCTGAATTGCTCGTCCCCACTTAGCTCCAGAATGAGCACAGATGAGCAGAATAGCTTGTTTAATTAGGGTGGGGATAACAAACTTCCATCAAATGAAGTGCACCGTGAATATCTAGTCGTCATGAAAACAAGAGATAAGCATTGCTTATTCCTTGTTTTCTCCAATTCTTTGTCAGCTCTGATGTTTAATGTGAAAGCACAGTCGTACGCGCGCGCACACACACACACACACACACACACACACACACACACACACACACAATTTGTGGGTAGTAAGTCTGGTCAGCTCATTAGTACTAAATATTTTGAGAAAACCATTGGAATTTTTTTACCAGAAATAATTTCAATTGACAGTGATGTTTGACCCTAGAAAGACGCTTCAAAACTAACTTGATCGATTAATTTATATGTGAGTTTCAACGTCCCAAAACCACCATATTATTATGGGAGACACCGTAGTGGAGGGCTCCGGAAATTTCGACCACCTGTGGTTCTCTAACGTGCACTCTAATCTGAGCACACGGGGCTACAGCACTCTCGCCTCCATCAAAAATGCAGCCACCCCAGTCGGTTCAAAACTAACTTACATTGCTCTGAAACTCACTTTTTGGTGCCCCGAACCTGCTCCAGTACTCCCATTTTACTGCGCCAAAGCTGCTCTAAAACAGCATTATTCTTCCTTGAGCTGTTCGAAAACACGCAAGTCCACTTCCAGCCCTGGGTTAACTCATTGGTACTGAATGTTCAGTGAAAACCATGGCAATTTTTTTTACCGGAAATAATTTTGATTGACGATGATGTTTCACCATAGACAGCTGCTCCAAAACTAACTCACATTTCTCCAAAACGCACCTTTTAGTGCTTCGAATGTGCTCCAAAACCTCTCTTTTACTGCGCCAAAGCTGCTCCAAAATAGCATTATTCCTGCTCCTTGAGCTTCTCCAAAACACTGAAGTCCACTTTCACCCCTGCTGTACAAGAGAATACACGATACTCTCAGGCTCACCCGAAAATGCATCTGGTCACTTGAAGAAGCCTTCCCAGGCACTTAGTTAATCTTCGCTGAAGAGGGTGCTCATTGCTTTTGAATGGTCATATCGAAGGGCCGAAGCCGAACCTCCGGTGACAACTTCTAACAAGACTTTGCACGCAGTGCCCCGCGCACGTGCCAGGGTACTTATTCCAATTAAAACAAAAGGACAGCCACTGCCACGTCATTGGGTGTCATTGATCATTCTGCAATAGGGACAAATAGTTTGCCCGTCGGTGTTTCTATTACACATTGCATGTTTCATCGTGCCTGCAGCCTATTCATTTGCAAGTGAGCACGACAGATACCACCTTGCACAGTTCGATTTCTGGCCCTCTTAGACGACTCTGCTGAAATGAGAAAAGCTCTTTATAGCGATGCTTGGGTGCCGCACACACCTGTTACAGTGAGGCTCGCCCTCCACGGACTGCCAAGGTCACACTGTAACTGGAACCTCGAAAGATGCATGTGTGACACTGCTCCCCTGCAGAGCAAAATAAATTCAGCCTGAAACTTGAATGAGTAAAAGCTCAGCGGGGCAAACAAAAAAATAGCACCCCCTTTTTGAGGCTGATTTTGCTTACCTAGCTTACAAAAAGCTCCTCCAGGAAAGCAAAATAGTTTCGGGACATCGAAGCATTCAAGGGATGTGGTGGGGACATTGGAATGAATGATAAGAGAATAGACTGAGATTATTGACAAAATTATTCACTGCTGCATGAGTGCATGTTCCTTTCCCTACACAACTTGTACTACCTTCTTCAGCTGCCATTGACTATAGTGTTTTGTCACCCATAATATATATTTTTGTGGTATTCAAAGCTGTCAAATTTCCTTCCTTACATCAATAAGTCATCAACCATGGAACATACATTCAAAGACGAAGTAGAGAAATACTTTTTGAAACAACAGCCTCCATCCTCGCAACTGCTTTTTTGTTTCATGCGATATTACCCCTACGCTTTGTATGTTGTAATTTATGACTGTTTTTCAGTCTTACCTTTCGCTTTTTGTCAGTTAAACAAAACATATGTATGTTTTTGCTTTCAGATTTTTTTCGCACTCATTTTTTTTCTTACCAAAGATACTGTAACCACTGAATCGCATATATCTTCTTTCCAGTTCATATCATGAACGGGAGCCCCCCCCCCCCCCCTTGACCGTGTGTAACTTCGGGGCCTTGTGTGTTACCAATCTTGTACACATATTTCTGTAAACTAATATTGTTGATGCTGAGTAAACCTGAATGCTTGAATACTTGTACTGGAATATTTGCACAAGCTTTTGATGGCCAGGACGCTAATCCTTTGCTGTCTTCATCATGTGCATTTAATTCTATTTCATTTCGTAAACAGTATTCTACTCCCACCCAGGCTGAAGTCCAAGTATAGCTCCAAGGACTCCTGGACTAACAAAGACAGCCATAATTCTGTGTTGACAAACAAGGTGTCTTCTCCTGTGAGCAAAGACAAAGGTACTGCATTTAGTATGTTTGCTTCAGTAATAATTCGTGACAGTTGTGAAAAAAACAGATAAGAAAAAAAAAGCAGGGGATGGATATAAAAGGTTGCACTTTTATTCAGGGAATTCATTCAGTTCAAAAATACTGAATTTTGTAGTGAGTGTAAGAGGAGCTAAGAGGTGAATTTATTCTTTTTTTCCTTCTTGTGATCACATGAAGCCAAAAAACACTGAAGTATAGGAAAGCCTACGAGAGAGCTAGCAATCGTTCTTTTTAATTTTAATATAGAATTAATGAGGAAAAGAGAATATGAAACCACTTGAAAAGAAACTGGGCAGAGGTGGTAACAAGTGTAAACATTAGTTGTTCAAGGCTGTACCGAGCTGCAAGTACCACTCATAGATATGGCAGATGTCGAATAACTTTGCACTTCATATAAATTTACTTTTTTATGCTATTAAATTAAACTACTATATTTTAACCATCTTCACATAAATATGCTATAGAAGTGATACCTGCTAATTTTGTGCAGCTGGACTGACAGTCATTATTGAATTACTAATTTCATAGGCATGCCACTATCATCTTTAGAAGGTTGAAGGATAAAAAAGCTGTTGAAGGTGTAGGTTCAACACCTACTTGTCTAATTATTTAGCTTGGCATGAGTTACATTGAACTTATTGTTCTTTTTTTCAGTTAATTATGGTTGCATTTGATAATATTGTTTTCCTGGCTCACTTCTTGTCTGTCTTAACTTATACTTTATTCTTTGCTAATTTTTTTATGAGCTGGTTTACTCCTTTGGCCAATATGATTTTTTTAGTATAATGAATTAGTCTTTAGCTAAGTTCACCAGCGTGATAGGTGAGACAAAATATAGAAGTGCAACAGGACCAGCGCTGATTTGTGTCTTTTGCCCCATCTTTCATGCTAGTTAACTTTGCAAATGTGGCACCAACGTGCCCAGACAGAATCACTCCTATGCTTTAGCCCCTTCACTTCTTACTCCATAATTTAACTTAGCCAATACACTTGACCTAGTTGATAATCAGGACTTTTGTAGTTAGTAGTTACCTAATATCTAACCGTCTGTGATTTTTCAGAGCAGCCATGTTATGAAATCAGCACAATAAGTCTTGCCAACCATTCATGACATTGTTGGCATTTCATTTGTTACACATCCTGCCTTTTGTTGTATGCCATGATCGTGTAGCAGTTGCAGTGCTTGGCTGCTGACCCAAAAGTCCCGAGTTCAATCTTTGCTCCAGTGGTCATGCATTTCGGAGGAGGTGAAGTGATGTAGAGGCGTGTGCCGTGTAGAGGCATGGGCCTCTACATGGCTCTACATGGATGGTGAAAATTTTCAGAGCCCTGCTCTATGCGAGCTTCATAATTATAATGCTACGTATCTATTGCATGAAGGGTGAACCATTCTGTGGACAGAAGACGACGAAGAGGACTGGCTTGCTTGCTCTGCGTGCTGTGCTCCGTTTTGATCGATGCCAATTCACTGGCAAATACTCACGTCCCGTCTTATTTTACGTAACATATTTGTAGTAGAGCTGCTGGTCCTTCCCTATACCCATCACAAAGCTCCACAACGGCTACATCATCACGGGTCCTATCATGTCACAAGTTCAAGGAACATCGTCTTCACCAACTGCCTCTTCTAAGACTCCTACCTACGTTGTCCTACCTCCTGCTCGTGATCCTGGCGTATTTTCCAGATAGAATGGCCTTGACATTGACAAGTGGCTCAACGTGTGTGAACGGATCAGCGCCAGCTATAGGTGGGACCCGAGAGACGTGTATCCTCTTCCACGTATTGGCGACGCACTTGACTGTCTTCATGGCACTACCTTGTTTTTATCTCTCGACTTCCGATCTGGCTTCTGGCAAATTGCTGTAGACGAAATAGATCATGAGAAAACTGCATTTGTTACCCCCAACGGCCTTTACCAATTCAAGGTAATGCTGTTTTGTCTCTGCAACGTGCCAGCAACCTTCGAGATAATGATGGACACGCTGCTTCAAGGATTTAAATGGGCGATGGACTTGTGTTACTTAGATTACGTGATAATTTTCTCACCCACCTTCGCCACACATTTTGAACGCCTTATGACCATTCGATTAACATTCCGACATGCCAGCCTCCAGCTGAATTCCTTGAAGTGCCGCTTCAGTCTTCGTCAAATTACTGTGTTGGGTCACTTTGTTGACGCTTCCGGTGTACGACCAGACCCGGCAAAAGTATGCGCAGTGACAAACTTTCCCGTTCCAGGCTCCATCCATGATGTTCGCAGTTTCGTAGGCCTATGCTCTTACTTTTGCCGGTTCGTAAAAGACTTTGCAGCACTCGCACGCCCACTCACAGACCTTCTCAAACACGACATCCCGTTTTGTTGCGGTCCTCTTCAAGCTAACGCTTTCTCTCGACTAATCACCACTCTAACTACACCATCAATACCTGCACATTTCGATCCAGGTGCTCCTACAGAAGTACACACAGACACTAGCGGTCACAGCATCGGTGCAGTTTTGGCCCAAACTCAGCGGGCACTGATGGTGTAATTGCATGTGCAAGTCGTCTCCTTTCAAAGTCTGAGCGTAACTACTCTATAACTACTCTATAACAGAACGAGAATGCCTTGCCCTTGTCTTGGCAGTTTCGAAATTTCGTCCTTACTTGTATGGCCGCCCGTTCCTTCTCATCACAGATCATCACGCCCTCTGTTAGCTTTCTTCACTGAAAGACCCTTTTGGACGACTTGGTCATTGGGCATCGCGTCTTCAGAAGTACTCCTACTCAGTTGCCTAAAAGTCTGGATGCTTCCATCTGGGCGCCGATTGCTTGTCCCGCTACCCTGTTGACCAACCAGATGAATTGGTCGTTGAGCCTGGCCCCCCCCCAAAGGCGTCTGGGTAAGCAGGCGTTTAGTGTATAGCGATACCACGGACGCGAGCTAATGGGGGGCGGGGGGGGGTTGACTCCCTCCCACGCCTAGCCGTGTGTGGCTAAGCCATGTCCGGGGAAAAGGGGATCCTGGGGTGGAGCTGACGCTGAGTGCTTGGAGCTGACGCTGAGTGCTTGGGAGACAAAAAGGAAAGACGCACAAAACACATAATCATCACCTTTGGTACCAGTGACTTACCTGATTCAATTGAAACTGGCTACTGCAATCTCCGTGTCAGGCCCTACGTGCCAAACCCCCACAGATGTTTCAAATGCCATCACTTTAGACATGGGCACAAAGCTGCAGAGGGTGCATTACTTGCACAAAATGTGGATCCAACGAGCACGCATCAGATACGTGTACCTCAACAACATCATGCTGTGTGAACTGTGAAGGAGACCATGCTGCCCACTCGAGATCGTGTTCAATCTGGAAGAAAGAAAACCAAATCCTTGAGATTAAAGTGAAGTTCAATCTGTCCTTTTAAGAAGCACGTAAACGGTTCTCAATTCATCAGTCCAGTCTCTTCTTCACCGATGTGACGCGCCGGGGCGCTGCACCACATCTTTCCGTGCCTGCAAAAGTCGCACAGAGTGAGACTGCAGGCGCCCCACAAGCGCCCAGACTGGAGCAGCCAGTACTGCTCTGCCACCTGACAAACAGGGCCAGCAGACTCCCCAGTCTGCCAGATCCCGGGCGACTGCAAGCACAGTGAGTCCCGAAAGCACCGTGAATGTGTCTGTCGAGCAGGCACCATCCACCACTTCACAAGAGGCTATGGGTACAAGTCCCACTCCTCCGTCGCCCGAGACGCCGAAGGTGAGGCGCAGCTCTTTGGAGTGCACTAAAAAAGAAAGACTACGCGTTACAGGGCCTCTTAAGGATCTTGCAACCTAAGGCAATACTTTTGTATACACAGCATCACACAGATTAAAAATGACACAAATATTACAGTGGAACGTCAGAGGACTACTGAAAAACCTCAATGATATTCAAAAACTTTTACACAGACATACACCAAAAATGCTGTGTGTACAAGAGACACACTTGAAACCCAAACACACAAACTTTCTACGCTATTACGTTATGTTTCGGAAGGATCAGAATGATGCAGTTGGTGGTGTTGCCATTCATGTGGATCCAAGAACTGCTTGTACACATTTACCACTTCAGACGTCTCTTGAGGCAGTAGCTGTCCAATCCGTTATCTTGAACAAACTGGTCACAATTTGCTCTATATATATGCCTCCTCAGCACCAACTTAGTAAACAAGAATTCCAGGCGTTAATTGATGAACTTCCAGAACCGTATCTTCTCCTTGGAGATTTTAATGCATGTAGCAGTCTGTGGGGTGACTCGCACTGCGATGCACGAGGTCGTCTGATTGAACAGTTTCTTTTCTCCTCTGGCATGTGTCTCCTCACTAGGAAAGAGGCAACATAATATAGCCTTGCTAACAATACCTATTCATTAATTGACCTAAGCATTGGATCTCCATTGCTTCTTCCCCTACTTTGCTGGAATGTCATTAATCATCCTTTTGGAAGTGACCACTATCCTGTAGTTATGAGCTCAGCAGTGCCGAATGAATGTCCTCCACAGGTTCCCAAATGGCTGATAGAAAAAGCAGATTGGGACCAGTTTTACAAGGCTGCTAGCTTAACTTGGACTGACATATGCAGTTCTAGCTTAGATGCAGCTTTGTAATACCTTGCTGCTTTTCTTATTAAAGCTGCAGCTAAGTGCATTCTGCAAACATCTGGACTGGGCAGAAAACGACGCGTCCCCTGGTGGAACAGTGAGTGCTGCAATGCTCGCAAACAATAAAACAAAGCATGGAGTCTGCTTCGAGACTCACTGACCACCGAAAATCTTGTCAATTTTAAAAATGTCAAGTCCCAAGCCAGGAGAACGCGTCGACAGGTCAGGAGGGAGAGCTGGCAGAGGTTTTTATCTGGAATCAACTCATACACACATGAAGCAAGAGTCGGTAGGATGGTAGGACAAGAACCACATCCTCTTCTTCTAGTAAACACACAAGGCAATGGTTTAGAAGACCAATCGAACTCCCTCGGTGCACACTTCAAAACAGAAAACAAACTACATGTTATCAAACTGAGAATTGGAAATTGGCCAACAATATGCATATCATGCTACACACAAGTCATACTTACAAGACTGCAGATAGGACACACGCATTCGACACATTCATACCTTTTGTTTGGTGGCGATGCACCATTGTGTGAGGGATGTGGAGAACCACTCGGGGTTCTCCACATCCTCGTCCAGTGCAGTAATTCAAATTCTCTCAGAAAAAAGCACTTTTGCCCTACCGACAACAGATACCCTTGTAACCATCGATGTTCATTGGTAGAGAACCCCTTTTTCCACATAAATCATTGCTGGCGTTTTTAATGGATGTACGTACTTTTAACGTCATATACCCCGGTGCTCCGTAGCACGATCTCTGAAGAGAGGTCGCTGCTGTGGTTGCTGCATCTACGTCATTGTCTTACTGTCACGACATTTCGCCATTTACTATTATTGCACATATTTCACGTCAATGTCACGGTTTTATTGCTTCTGTGTTTTTACCCGCGTTAACACGAGGAATTTTTAAGCCCTTTTACAGGCACCTATCATAATCATTGTTTGCATCACTTGTCGACTGACCTGGCACTCTTTGGCCATGAAATGGCCCTTGCACCATAAAACACCACACATCATCATCATCGATCCTGGCCCCAGCGTCATGTCCGTGTCTAGGTTTGATCAGATTGGTGACGAACAGCGTCGCAATGCTCCCTTGTGGTCATTCATTGTTCGTCTTAAATCTGACCCTAATGACGTATCACTCCGCATGTTTGACCTCCTAAATGGCTGTCACGCACTTCGAGTGAGGCCCGGCCGATCCAACATCGACGTGCGGCAGACTCGCAGGCTTCCACTTTACGCTTAGGCCTGCGACGCCTGAAAAGCCTCGAAGTGGTACATCTCAAATTTATTAGCAGGTCAGTCGACCCGTGCGGGGTTGCACATGTGGTGATGTATGAGCCTGACCAACGTACTCATAGAGTAGACACGAACATTTGATTACACACAAACAAGCATTGAATTAAAACAAGGGCAATCGGCAAGAGATTACAAAAATAACGGAGGAAAAAACACTAATACGCGATGCAACAAAACAACAAAGCAAACTATTCTCTAAAAGAACACAACTGGTACAGACAAAACGCAAATACATGGAATGTTAATAAAATAAGAACATGATGGAATTGAAGGAGATACAGAGAAAGTTTACAAGAAAACGATCATGGTCGCGCTTCTGAATTTCTAAGTGCGACACAGTGCACACAACTACAATTAATTAAAAGCTGGTTATAATAAAATAACAGTTAAAAAAGTCACAATAAAAAGTTCTATACGGACCAGGCCAGCTCTTGGTACACGTAGGGGAGTTGACGGGGTGTCGCTGAAGATCTCGCCAGCTTAGTTGACGACGAGGGTGCCCGGAATTGCAGCTGTCTCAATATGTTGCGCGGGTCACTCCATGCTCGCTGCCTACGCGAAACTCACGACACCGACAACCACACTTCTTGCTGGCTACACGTCAACTGCTGATTCCGATGCAGTCCAAACTCTTTCGGGACGTCCCGTCCCCTCTCGAGGTAATTTCTTTTTCCTCGAACACGTTTCTCCTTTCGGTGCAGGTGTAGGGAAGACGCCGCTGCGTTGCCAGTCAGCGGATGTCCTCTTCCCAACACAAAAGCGCCCTTCCTTGGACGATAGGGTGCGCGGGCGAAACGAAAATTGCAGTCGTTTGTGGCATTGGCCCTGAGCTACTTCTGGTCGTGCCTAACCATCTCCATTCAGCGGTCCTGCATAAGCTTCACGACGAACCAACTGCGGTCACTTAGGCGTATCTCGCACGTATGACCGTGTTCGGCGCCGCTTCTTTTGACGTGGTCTCGCACAGTCCGTTCGACGTTACGTGGCCTCCTGCGATAAAGGCCAACGTCGAAAATGACCTGCCGCACCCCCTGCTGGACTCCTTCACCCAATCTCCATCCCTATCGAACCTTTCTTCCGTGTTGGTGTAGACCTTCTAGGACCGTTCCTTGAATCAAACTCTGGGGACAAGTGGGTCGCCGTTGCTATAGACCAGTGGTTCTTAGCCATGGATGTGTCCGGGACCCCTTGTGGACTGGTGAAAGTGATGGGAGACCCCTTGAAGTGGAGGGTGGGGGGGGGGGTATGTAGGTAAATATCACGGCTGGAGCGTAAAACAGGTGCCTTTTATTGCTACCAAAGACATCAAACATGCCACATCACTTCATTTTGGACACTTAATCAATACGTGGCACAGTCACGTGTAAACAGAGTTGCATATGTAATTTTTTTTTATTGTGAAAAAAAAAAAAAAGCGAGTGAGGGTTTCGCGAATCATAGAAATGGCTTTGCGGACCCCCTAGGACCCATGGACGCCATTTGATAACCGCTGCTATAGACCATGCGACCAGGTTTGCCGTCACTAGAGGGCTCTGCATCAGCACTGCTACTGACGTTGCCGACCTTTTGCTCCACGATCTAATTCTATACCATGGCGCTCCTCGTCGATAGCCCACCGATCGTGGCCGCACATTTTTGTCACGCCTACTCGACGACCTTTTGTGCTCTTCCTCAATGCAACTCAAACTAACCACTTCGTGCCATCCTCAAACAAATGGCCTTACCGAACGCCTAAATCGCACCCTCACGGACATGCTCTCGATGTATTTCTCATCTGACCACCATTACTGGGATCTAGCGCTACCACACATGATATTCGCCTATAATTAATCTCGTCATCACAGGTTATTCACCTTTTTATATGCTGTATGGCCGTTATCCGACCTTACCAATGGACACCCTACTATCGACTACTACACCTCTGCCGAGCGAATACGCACGTGATGCTATCGCTCGTGCCAACCACGCACGTCAGATTGCCCGCTCTAGGCTGTTGGATTCACAAGCAACCCAGAAGGCTCTCTACGACAGCAAGCATGTCGATGTTGACTTCTCACCTGGATCCCTAGTTCTTCTCTGGTGCCCAGTTCGTCGTGTTGGATTGTCAGAGAAGTTGCAATCTCAGTACAAGGGACCTTATCGTATCATATGACGGGTAACTGACGTTACCTATGAGGTCATTCCAGTCTCCGGGACAAACCTGTCTGCAAATGCCCCCAGTGACGTAGTCCACATCAGTAGGTTGAAACTATACCACCCTCCTTCTGAAGAGCACGTATGAAGTGCACCGAGTCGTTGCTTTTACAACCGGGAGATAATGCTACGAAGCTATCGTATGAAGGGTGAACCATTCTATGTACAGAAGACGACGAAGAGGACTGGCTTGCCCGCTGTGCATGCTGCGCTTCGTTTTGATCTGTGCCAATACACTGGCGAATAGTCGCATCCAGTCTCATTTTACGTAACAATATCATGGTTTGGCACGTAAAAACCCAGATAATAATTTTAAAACTATTACTGCCCTTTGTTTTGTATATATTAGGGCAATGTTGATTTTTAAACTAGTATCTTAGATAAGATGTGCCACTGGGAAAATGACAACTAGCAAGTGGAAAGAATTATCTCAGATCTGCTTTTCTGTTAGTGAAAGTAGTTCTTGGAATAATGAGAATGATGGTAAGCAGATTTGTCTGTCCTGTCTTGTGTTGCTCAGGGTGCACCAATGACGATCTACAGGCCATGGGCGACCGGCTGCTTGACTGGTTTTCAGTGGTCATGAGTGACCACCAACTGAGCACCCAAGTGTCCACGAGACGGAGGACCCACAGAGTATCTGACTGTAAGCCACTTGCAAAACTTTTCAGTCTAATATCTACAGCTTTAACACATGCCCAGAGCACTGAGAATGGGGGTTGCATATATGCTAATACCACATGCTGAATTCCCTCTAGTGTCACGTGTTTTCTGCTGTCTTCAGTGGATTGTGGGTGGAAATCAGTACTGTACAGAGGCAACAGGTGTACTTATGTGTTTTGAGCAGCTATCATTGGTGTTCTCAGTATACCTTGAGTAGGCATCTCTTAGGGATCTCATGTTACTCGTTTCCATTGTACAGTTTTACTGTTATTCTCACTATTATGGCAAATAAAATATGGTCGAATTTTCGTTAAATGATTATAATAGCATAAATTAATTTATTGCCAAGTGAAAAAGTGAGCAAGTGGGTTTGTGTGTATGGATGTACAGTGGAACATGTTTATATCGAACCCACATATATCGGATTTTCGGGTATATTGAACTCGCAAGTTATCCCCTTGGAATTCCTTTGTAAAGCTATAGAAATTCACTCGTTTATATACAACGGTATTTTTACCCGCCTTCGGATATATTGAACGCCGCGCGAGCTCAAAGGTGCGCTTCGGCACTCCCCCCCCCTCGAGTTGGAAGGCGCACTCGCAGCAGCGCCCGGCGACCTCCACCTACGCGGCACCACGCCTCTGCCAAAACTCGAAACGCTCGAAAAAAGGCAAGGGCAAGAGGGCTTGGAGTGTGCAATCTCCAACATGCAGAACTTTTTTTATTGATTCTCTTTCTCTCTTCCATGCTTTCTCCCCGTACACGTTGGCTCGGAGAGCAGGAAAGAAAGAGCCGATGTTCTCCTCCTTTTGCCTTTTCTTGTATTTTGTGTTGCTGTTTTGCGAGGTTTGATCAGCCAACCACAGCTCGCGCCTTTTGCTGTTGCCCTCGCTGGTAGCCATCACCTCGCGATCGCTTTGTTGCTCTTGAGCTGTCGCGTCACCTATGTACCACTGCATGTGCAGCATTTCTCTTTTGTGCAAAGCCACTGCGGATTGAATTGTCCACTTTTCGTGTAGCTATGGCCAGCGCCAAGAAGCGCAAGATTCTTGACTTTGCGTTGAAATTAAAGGCTATTCAGCGTGTTGAGGCGGGCGAGAAATGTTCGACCGTCGCGGACGACTTCGGGGTACTATGGAGCACAATGAGTACCTTGTTGAAAAACAGGCCAAGGTTAACGTTTTTTTTTCTTTTTTCTCGCAAATAAATCGGGCTGTTGCAACGTGTGTGTGGAATTAGTTGTCATTCTTGAATGCACCTATTGTAGGTGATGATCTGCAACAGGTAAGCTCTCAGGGTCTCTATTTTTTTTATATCGCATTTTTTATATATCGAACTAATTCGCGATCCCCTTCATGTTCTATATATCCATGCTCAACTCTATTTGAATGAATGAGTGAGTGAGACAAAGCTACAATCGACGTCCGATTTCCCGGACCCTCAAGGCACCACGAAAATGTCCGGAAAATCGGGCAGTCCGGAAAAACGAATGCACGTGAAAATGCACCTTTTTTTTTTTGTAGGTATTTTTCTCTGACAGAGAGGGTAACGGCCGGAGTTCCAAGATTCCCATTACAATTCAGCCAATGCATCGTTTAGGTGGCTCTGAAAAGAGCCATTTATTAAAAAAAAATCAGACGAGGCCGGCGCTACCTAAAAAATCAGCACTCAGGCGCAAAAGAGTCGCCTATTTTCTTTTGCACAGCGTTCCGCTTGCCTGCGATCATGTCTGCCTCAATTTCGGTCAACTCTGAGCTCATTGGCTGTGTAGGAGATGGCTCTTCGTTCTCAATGTCAGAGTCGTCGGAATCCTCCGTAACTTGACGATGATTTCGTCATTGGTCGAGTCCGCACATAGCATGAGGTCGTTGTCCGCGTCGGCGAAGCCCTCAGAGGTTATCCCGGCTGGAGTCGACACGCCGGCAGCGTACGAATTGTCAAAGTCAACATCCGCGGATGGCAGTTCCACACGCTGTACACTTGGGACGAGTGTGAAGCCCGTGTGGTGAAAACAGCTCCGCAGAGTCTCTTGCGTAACCGCCTACTAGGATTTCAATAGTATGCCGATGGCAGACCTGAGATCAACAGTTAGGTTTGGCTTGGCTAAGCTGCGGCTGGCAACAGATTGACACGTGCGGTTTCAAGGTTACGGCAGCCGCGGCGCGATTCGGCGGCTGGCGGCAATGCTGCTGGCCATACCCGCGATGCGAGTATGGCGGGTTCGAGGATATAAAAACAACCAAAATGGCGGAGTCGGTGGTGACTTTGGGTAGGCGGTTAACAGCAAAAATTCCAGGAAATCAGATGCCAAAGGCTATAAGCATCCGGAATTTCGGACTTTTTAATACATTGACTCTATGGAAAACTTGATGGTGCCACAGATTAGTCCGGGCGTACGAGAAATCGGACGCTGACTGTATACTGGAATATGTTTGGTGAATTGCACACACAGCATCAGGGCACCGAATGCGATCACTTCTACGTTGAAATTTTTTGTGTGCGTTTCGGCCTGCCAAAGTCACATGTGCCTATTATGCCTTACATGAGTACAGCCCTTCCATGGGTCTGCATGATTACTTGGCTGTCTCTCTCAATTCTTTCAGGCAAAGCTGACTTTCATTCTCTAAGATCACCTGTGAGGGTGACATTTTGTGCATATACCTGTAAGAATGTCAGGAGAGAACTTGCATTTCATGCTTCATATTTATAATTACCTATGTAATAGCTGCAAAATTCTGCACTTGGAAAGGCAACTCACACACAGTTCTATGCGGAGTGCAGCAGCATTGAGCTCATTAATATAGGCTACATAATACAGTCACTTATTTTATAATGTATATAGAAACTTCATAAAAGACTGCATCATTTTTGTGTCGGTATTCTGTATTCTTGTGGCAGAAACATTGCAAGAATGAAACTAAAGAAATCCTTCGATAATCTTATAGGTGAAAGAAAAAGGTACCGATTCCTTGAAGGTTTTTATTTTCCCTCTTCATTTTTAGCAGTACTGAATCCTTTTGATGACACCGATAAAAGTGGTGACACCGATAAAACTGAAGTATTCTAATGCAAAGTAATATGTGTCCTGCCCCTTGCTGCTGTTTTTCTCTTTTTACTGAATATTTTGAACCACAAGGACATATCACCAATATACCTACCGACCCCATGGCATCGCTTGTTGTGCTTTCAGATCACCTACCAGAGTGCAAGCCAGAAGTGGGTTGGATGTTCCACCACCTAGACTCGGATGGGAACCTTTTGCTGACGCTGCGTGAGCTGTATGACCTGGAGCACGATGATCGCGAACGCTGCCTCCAGCCCTACTTGGCTGTTTGCGACCTCAACCGAGACTCGTTTCTCAGTACTATAGAGTGGTGTGCTTGCTTTAACAAGTCTCGTAAGTATCTTTTGTCTCTTTGCGTTCATTGAATTCACAGTGACAATTCCATCGTATTTATCATGACACCTACAGTGTGATTACAAATACCCATCTCCCGGTTTTGCAACAACCCACATTTTATGACGAATTGATTTGGTCACTGAAAAATCTCCGTAGAAATAACGTATTAAAAAAACCTTGGTTATACAACTCAGTTTTACGCCAATCCCCCCCATCTTACGGCGACTTTCAGATTCCGTTTTAAAAACAAAAAAAACAAAACACCTTCACTCGAATCAAACGTTGACCACATTTTCACGAGTGCAAAATATAAACTTGTGTTCCCCTAGGTTAACGATTGGAAAAGTAGAGAGTGAGACAGGATGTCTTCTTAAAATGGAAAGTTTATTCTTTTGGGTGCTCATGCACTGGTACATATACTTCAATCGCGTGTTTACATATTGGGGATCATTACCTAGCCAAGCTCTATCCACACAGAGTAGCTTCAGCCAGTCGAAAAGCTGATATTTTCATGTTTTTGGTCCGCAGAAACTTTTTCTGGTTGACAAACAGTTGATCTCCTGCATTTGTAGCACTTGCAGTCACAGGCTTGCACACGCATAAGGGCATGCTGCAGCTGTTTTCACCGTGCGAAGTTACTTTCATTTAATGTCAACTTTCGTAATAACAGCAGAATACCACTAGTTGCAATTCACAAGGCAAGAAATTACAATGCACACAGCTCAGTAGCACATGACGGCATTCTACGCAAACTCTTGATCCGTCGCCATTATGTGATAGCGATGACACTGTGTCAGACTCTTCTGACAGGAGGCTGTTGTCAATGTGGTTTTGTTTTCACACGCAGGCAATTTTCGAACTCTATCAGTAGAAATATGCACGTTGGATTCAATACTTTTTAAGGTTGAGAATAAAGATTCGCTTGCTCCTTCAACTAAGTAATGCTTCCATTAGCTGCCACTGTCAAGAATAATTTAGTGTACCTTCCTTGCAGAGGCACAAGGTCATGCCGTGGACTTATTCAGGCAGTTTATACCCGTTTTTTGGACATGGCTGAGTGTCACTGCCTGTTATCTTAGTTTTTAAAATATACTACCCAAAGATGATACAACGGTGTCGCGTGATCTCTTGAAATTTATGTGATTGGGGTTCCACTGTACTTTGCCCATCTTCCTCTGCTATTATCACTAAATGAAAAGGGCCAGATGTGTGTGTGTATGCAGTATGTCGGCATAGGTCTTTCAGTGCCAAATATAATGACCTGTATGTTGCCACATATTCTTACATAAGTTGCAAAGGGATGCTTTGTTTGCGAGCAGTCTAACATTATTATTTTTTTTCTGAAATTAAACAAGATATGACAAAGAGCATTAGCGAGACATATCGTCACGTGGTTGTTTTGGTAAAAAATATAAAACTAAAACTAGTAATGATGAAACTCTTTATCGGGTGAACCCATGCCCAGAAAAAGAAGTACTGATGCTCAGAATACTTCGGTACTGGCCAGCACAGTTGTCAGTGATCGATAAAATTGATAAGCAGGTTAAAAGAACGAGTTTGTGCATGCATGATTGAACATTTCAGCGTTATTGCTGGTGCTCGTGTTAACTCTAGCATTAACTCAACTACTCGAATTGTGTACGCGTTCTTATGAGGACAATCATAAACAATCAAGGAGGTTATAAAACATTCTATTACGGCCTGCATAGAGCAGTAATAACATGTGTAAAAGTTTCTGTGATCGAAGTGCAGTCACATGAAAATTTAAAAATGAGTGCACTTGGCAATATGAGCAAACAGTAGTTAACAAAGGCAACACACCCAAAACTACATCTGTGAACGAAAGTGTACACAAAGAGTTGCTTTGCATTAGGCGTGGTTCAACTGGAAAAAGCTTTTCCTTTCGCGTGAAAGTTGCTCAAGAAGTGCCTGCTGTTCTATAGAGTGAATACAGGGACGGTGTCGTGGAGTTCATTTCATAAAATGGTTGGCACTTACAATTTATTTTGGGCTCACTGTCAAGTAGACATTATGTGTCACTGCTTTCAATGCACTTTAGGTAGTGACTCAGTTTTAAGTGGAAACTGGGTGATCTGAAATTCTTGGCGAAAAGTATGCACTGCCTTGTTTGAGAGCAGAAAATAGAGAGCATGCATGTGTGAATAATTCATAGCAGTGTTACTTATGTCAAAGAGGCATATCCATATCAGTCTGCAGACAAGAGGTCATGTGATGGTTTTCGTCTAGACATACCTGTATTCTGACCATGCATGTCAGTTCAGTTTTACTAAAGCTATGAACTCTGTTCTTTTGATTTCATGCTTCTGATTTCATTTTAAAAAATACTGAAAAAGTATAAACACTACAAGCATTCATGCGTGCACTATCTAGATTGCCACATATGCCATGCTGAGAAATGAAAATTCACATGCACGAAGAAATTCAACACATAGTTACACTCAAACCTCGTTATAACATAACTTGACATAACGAAATAATGGATATAACAAAGTAAATAAAATTCCCCTTGAAAGCTCCATTGAGAACCATGCATTATAAACCTCATTGTAACAAAGTAAAATTGACAGATAACTGAATATAACGAACCAATTTAGTCTATCAAATTGTCTATAAAAAAACTGACCGTTGTGTGTTAAGTACATCGTTTTCTGCAGAGTTTGACGCTCGTTCGACCTGGCTATTTCAAAACTCTCGCGCCAACCTTACAGCCACGCCACGCGCGGCCGAGAAAGCCATCCTCCCCACACAGCCAGCGGAGAGGATTGAGGAAGCGCTCAGCGGGTCACATGACAGAGAAGCGACACCGCGGTGCAACGAGATTTTCCTCTCACTTAAGAACACATAACTGGGAAGCTTCAGAAGACTTACATTTATTCACAAATCAGAGGACATCCGTCATTAATTGAAGTAATCGGTGATGTGCATCTGCACACGTTTGCTTTGCAGCGAGTCAATCAATTTCGCACGCAGTTTGCAAAGCATAGTAGCGTGCGGCTATGTCCAGCGCCAACACTCTCCAAAGATGACGGCAATGACTGGCAACGACTGCGTCTCCGCTGCTACCCTCTGCACCGAGAAAGAAAGAGCGTCTCGACACGGAGATAAGCAGATCGGCATTAGAGGGAGAGAGCCAACTCTCCGCGACAGCTTTATTTTTTTTATTTTTTTTCCTCTCTCTTCGTGCACGGCCTAGAAAGGAGAAGGGTCTCTATGTGCAAAGACAAAAAAGGGAGAAGCGTGGCACAGGCGCATCTCAGATCGGCACTTGAGATAGAGAGCAATCTGCCACAGTCTTTTCTTTCCTTTTCTTCTTTTCCTTCTTTGCGCGCAGCGTTGAGAGGTGCCGCCGCGGGATTGGGCATGGTGCTGAGAGCATTTTCGGAGCCCAATATGTTCGAATTAACCGTCGCAAGTGCTTTCGCGTTCGAATTACAGGGCGTTTTCACCCATTGGAATACACATAGCTTTGACAGGACCACAGCGTAAGTTCGAATTAACCGGAAGTTCGAATTAAGCATGTTCGCATTAACGAGATTCCACTGTGTTTATTTTTCGTCGCATGCGTGGTCTTGTAGTGGTACACTGGGCCGCGAGGCAGTTTTTCTTTGCATGCTTATAGGTGTGTGCCCATTTGAGCATACATTGCCACAAACTGTTAGAATCATTTTAATGAAATAATGGATATAATGAAATAATTGTCACTCCTCTTCAACTTTGTTATAACGAGGTTTGTGTCTACACTTAACATCGCTGGATGATTGCATGAGTAAAAAATTATCAGTAGCATAGGTATCAATGCAACAGTCAACAGAAAGAAGAAAGAAGTCATTTTTGAAGAATAGGCTCCTGAAGATTGTAGCCCTCTTACTCCAGCTGTATACTATTTATCTGTGTATTTATTTATCTTTAATCTAGTAGCTTACTGGAGGAGCTTTAACTGATTCTTTTTTTTTTCGCTATGTTGGTCAAGTGCAGATTTGAAAACTACCTAAGGTTCGTTCGGAGCTCGACAGATTGTCTAGGCTGCATGCACCTTACAGATCTACATCTAGAGCAGCAAGCTGGGCATCGTAAAACTGATCAAACAGCTGTTTATTGTGGATTGGTGGGGCTCACTCATCTGTTTCATCTGTTCAGTAGGCAACATTGGAACAGCATATTCCCAATTCCATCACAATTGTGCAATCAGTCATCACACAGGGCAAATAATCAGCAACCGAGTTGCTGATGACAAATGAATGAGGCAGCACAGCAGGCAGCATTCACTTCCCAAACCTTCCCAAACCATGGTCACGCCTTTGATGAACAAATTATAACCACTGATCCCCCTGATGTGTGCAGTGCTCCTCCGCTTTATTTCCCTTGCCTATGCACACAACTCCTCAACACAAAAGTAGTATTGGAGGTTGAATGCTATTTTATGAACAGAAGAAAACATTTGAACAAAATGTATAAGCTTATGGCCATAAAGGCAACTGATTACTAGAGCCTGCCCTGGTCTATCCTTCACACTGGCAGTGAGCAACAATCCTAGGACAACTACAACAGGGACTGTTGGCTTTATGCATGTTCTCTATCACTTTATCAAGTTTTGTGTGACATTTTATCACATGGGCTGGTGAGTACGGGTGACAGAGCTCCTTGCAGCTGGAGTCAATTGGCCAATTCTGTTGTCTGTGAATGTCTGATGTTGAGTCACAAAGTCTTGCAAAAGTTTAAGCATCCTAAGAAGTTACCGTATTTTCTCGCGTAATCCTCGCGCTCGCATAATTCTTGCACTCCCCACATCGCCCAAAAAAAATACGATTTTTTTTTCCTCGAGTAATTATCGAACCCCCGAAAACTCCCGCAATGATGTCGTCTGCTCGTTCCAGCCACTGACGATGATAGCGGGCACTATCTGGCCCAATCTCTTAAGCATCAAGCGTACTATTGCACAAAGATTCAATCCATTCCAAGCCAAGTCGAAGTGGCCAGTGCGTGTTGCGGGGTGTTTTGTATGTTGTGTCAGTAATTTTGGCACATTATAGGGCGATACTGAAGCCACACAGCTGCTTCAAGTTGCAAGTGATAGATCATGCACTAAACAACGCCAACAGGGCCGCCGGTAGGCCCTTCGGAGCCTACGAGTTTTGTGTTCGCTACGGGTGACGGCAGCTGAAAGCCACAAAACCACGTTGGGCCTGCTGTGTGCTTAAAACTGGGATTGATGGTAAACTTTATTTCTTCAGAAGGAAACTGCGGACAATTCTGTTAAATAGCCATCAGCCCAATACTGACGTCCTACGGTTACCTTTTGAGGGCTCCTGTTGAGCGCCGACCGTTACCGCTACGCCCACAACGCCCACAAGCTTCGCATATGGTATTCTAATTCTCGACTATTTGCTTCCACTTTTTGTGTCTCAAATAAATGTTGCCTTGTGTTGAACCTCTGCTTTTATTGTTGAGGTAAGCTCTAATTATTTCTTCTTAAAGCTTGCTGTAAGTTGCTGGCGTGAGAATCCCGATTTGCGGTCACTTCGTTTTCTAGTTTTCCCCGCGTAATTCTCGCACCCCCCAACTTTGCATCAGTTTTCTGACAAAAAAAAAGTGCGAGGATTATGCGAGTAAATACGGTATATCCCAGCGATGCCTCTCTCACGTACACGAATAATACACTATGTGACGAATCTGTAAGCTGTTCTTGAAAAAAGTATTTACGTTCGGAAGATGTAGCATTTTTGTCTGTTTGGGAATTCACATTCTTTGTTTCTAGCTGCTGGAGAACTGCGTTACATTTTATGTTTTGCCTAATGACGCACAAATACTGCTGCAAAACTTTTAAAACTCTCAATAGATGGATGTTCTAAATAGGCTTAATCATTAAAGGAACTCAGGATGGCAGGCGAAGTTTGCACAAATGGGAGTGGTCGTTCTCTATCTAAATGTAGATCAGTAGACGATTCATACCCTAGCAGGTACTGTGCTCTCGTGGCTTACTTTGTGTTGAAGCAATAGACAGCACAAAGGTCACTTCATTCACTGAGCAGCTGTGTTCCCTTATGCCAGCATTTCGTAGAGTTATGCTAGATAGGATTCTAAAGGAGTTAGTTGTTAGCCTTACTTCATATAACATTAGAATTTTTTGCTTCCAGGAAAGCAGAAAACTGGACAAGTTGTTGCTATCGCACACATTGCTTTGCCCATGTGGGGAAACTGTGACCCTTTTTTTTGCTTTTTTTCACTCAGTACGTTATTGTTCATGAGTGCAGTTTGCTAGTTTGGCCATTTTTTAGGCAGGCAATCGGTTTTCGTTGTACTTGTTAGTGACCCTTTTTTTGGCTCTTTTTTTCACTCAGTACGTTATTGTTCGTGAGTGCAGTTTGCTAGTTTGGCCATTTTTCAGGCAGGCAATCTGTTTTCGTTGTACTTGTTAGTGATGATAGAATGCTCATGTTCAGCTAGAAGTGATTAAGGCAGTATATATTTTCGAACACTGAGAAGCAAAAAGCATGAATTTATTAAATTTACACAAAGGAGCACTTTGAATTAAGCAACTTTAAAATGCATTGAAGACATAGTGAGCCTACCAGAAATTTGAAATTCAATTAACCAAAAGTTAGAACTGTTGAGAGTCTTCTGTACAAATCTTGCCGCTCCAAGTGGCCCTTTAAATACATCATTGTAAACTTGCTTTGCTGTTTCCAGTAGCACATAGTATACTATTACATGCATTTTCAGAAAGAGAGTTTTCATAAAATTGCACAGACAAGGGGCAAATATAACCCAGAAACAAACATTAGTTTCACTTTCACTATTTATTTATGGTCAATGCCTGTATCTCTTTCACATTGTGTGGGGTGACCCACAGGGGGCGGTATGTTGTATGTGATATGAAGGACATGACATGTGTTTAAGATGTCCATGATATGTTGCTCTCAAGTTAAGTTCTCCTAGGCTTAGCATATTTAATTACAGCAGAGGGGCCAAAGCATTTGCATTGAAACTGACTGAAGTCCTTATTTTCACTGCAGAACGACCATGTGCAGCAGCTTTGAGGCGGGTTACGCCTGGTCTGATTGGTAAGTGGTTTTATCTACATTGTGTGGCTAAGTGCTAATTTACTTACAGTGCAAGTCTGTTGTACTGAAGCCACAGTCAATGAAAAAAAAAATGCAATGCTTGCACGGAACGCACAGCACAGTCACAGCAAAAGCTGGAAGAGCGGCCTTTCTAGAGCCTTTTTTAAATCAACACTGTTTGGGCCACTACTACAAGCACACTTGCATGGTATGCAACACACCATAAATTATCATTAATTTTTGTGTAGTGGGTAAGTATCCACTATGCCATTATGTATTCCTCATTCTTTGAAAAAGCGTAGTACCCACTACACATTCATGAAGCATTATGTGCATTTTGTTGATGCTGTGGCTGACCATGATGAAGAATTATGCCTGTGGTTTTTGTAATGCCTTGGAGCACTCAACGACCCACTCATTAGAGAATTGGCATTGTAGGATGCCTGGTTGTCACTTTGCTATAGTGAAACCTCATTAAACTGTAGTTGGCCGGAGCTCGGAAAAAGTAGGTACTAAACAGTAGTACTGCTTTACCGAAATAGCGTCAGGTTGCCCACTTGCCTGTCAAAAAAAAAAAACCCTCAGGGAGTGCAATGAAAGAACAAAAAACATGCAGTAATTTATTAACTTCACGTGACAAAACCTGTTATCTTCATTGGGTGATGCAGCGGCCTTGCAGCAACGACAGCGGCCTCCAAATCACTTACGCTGCGAGCTAGCTTTTCCTCCAGCCCCCTCTTCTCGGCAAACACCCACATGACACTGAATCAATGCGCAGCTTCAGCCACTGTCGGACCTGGATCACCCGTGTTGTCGCTTTCTGTGTCATCCTCATCACTATCATTTGGCGACACTTTGACACTGAGGCAACAAGAGCTTCGTCGAACATGTCCGGAGATGTCTGCAAATCGCTGTCTGCGTCTCTGAAGTCAGGGAAAGAAGTGCCTTTCGTAACGCCCCGCCGCTCCAGCACTTCAGCTAGCAGAGTTTCGCAAGCTTGGTTTACGATGTCTGAAGTCTGGTCGATGGTGCTACTAGCGTCATCTGCATCGCCCGCACACACAGTGAATCCTGCATGCTTGAATCAACTTTGAACTGTCGTTGCTTCAGCCTGCCTCCACGAGTATTCGAGCAGGTGAATCACGCCAATAAGGTCGGTGGAGAATAATTTGCCACATTCAATGGCGAGAAATTCTGCACAGCAGATTCTTCTTGTAGAGCTGTTTTGCAGCTTGAATGATGCCTTGGTCCAAGGGCTGGGAAATCACTGTTGTGTTTGGTGGCGGAAACGCCAACTTCACAACCGTCAGGTTGTCCAGGGTGACATGCACCGAAACGTTGTCTAAAATAATAACAACTCTTCTGTTCGTAGCCACCAAACAACGATCAATGAAGCGCACATACTCCTCAAAGAGTTTTGCAGTCATCCATGCCTTGATAATGCTGCGGTAGATGACCCATGATGGCAATCGGGCACCTTTAAAACATCTTGGCTTTGTCAACTTTCCAATCACAAGAAGCAGAGCTTTGTCGGTTTCAGTCATGTTTACGCAAAACGCCGCTGATATTCTGTCCTTCACGTGCTTCCCGCCGGTACACGTCTCGCCTTTGAACGCGAGTGTTTTGTCTGGTAGCAGCTTAAAGAATAGCGCCGATTCATCCATGTTTAAGATTTCATCAGGTGCGTAGTCTTCCAAGATGTTCTTCAGCTGACCATTTTGCCACTGCTCTGCGCCATCCACGTCAGCAGGAGCACCTTCTCCCAAGACAGTCCTCGCGGTAATGCTGTGCCTCGCCTTAAATCTGGCCGGCCAGCCATTGCTGCACACAAAGTTGTCATGATTGAGCTGCGAGGCAAAAACCAGGGCCTTCTCCACGAGCAGGGGTCCATTAATAGGCAAATTTTTCAACCTGGTGCAGCTTTTACCCACTTGACCAGCCCTTCCTCTACTTCCGAAAACGACGAACCGCATAGCCGGTACCTTTTCGCAGTTGCAGCAGCACTGCCGAGCTGCTTCTCTCTGTAATTCCAAATTCCACACACCGTGGTTAATGGCAGGTCCTTTTCGCATGCCAGCACCAATTTTTTCGTGCCACGTTCAATAGCACGAATGATGTCCAATTTCTCCTCTATTTTCGGCACTCGGCTGCGGCGGCGGCGTTTCCGATGGAGGCGGAAACGTTGCAGGACCCGTGTGCTCAGATTTGGGTGCACATTAAAGAACCCCAGGTGGTCGGAATTTTTGATGCCCTCCACTACGGCGTCTCTCATAATCATATGGTGGTTTTGGGACGTTAAACCCCACGTATCTATCATCAATTATTTTCGGCACTCGATGCTTGTGTCTTAGCTTCAGCATGAGGCAAGTATGAAGCAGCACAAGCACACATACACAACATGTGAAAAATGACGCTCCTACAGCTCTCGTGTACAGCACGGAACAACCAGAGAACTAGTATGCACGGTGCCGAAGGAACAAGGAAAGCAAAGCAAGTGCACACAATGTTTGCGTGTTTGTGCAAAGCACCATCGCATGGACAACCCCAGAAGCTTAGTCGGCCGAGTGCTGAACTTCCAATTTCGGAGACCACGTAATTCTTATTGGGGAAAAAATCTAAAAGATGGCGCTCATCAACACAGCCGCCATGATAATCAACACAAACAAGCGAAGCGTGTTTCGATCTTTGGGGCTTCCTGTTCTTTCGGGACGCCGACATGCCACGGCGAGTGCGCAACGATAATTGTAAAAACTACTTATTAAACGATACATATGTGATAAGCTGGTACGGTTTATGCGGATACAAAATGCATTATGTTCAATGGCCGCCGAGTCGGGGTATTGACTTTACTACTTTTAAAACGAAACTACTGTTTAAGCGGGTATGGTTTAACTAGGTTTCACTGTATTCTAAAACGCTTTATTTCACATGTCAAGCGATTGCTTACCCGACATGAAGCCTGCATAGGGTCAGTTTGCAATGGTCTTAAAAGCATGCGCGTAGCTCAGTGTTAGAGTACAGTGGTCCCACGCAAAATGCCTAGGTGCGATTCCCATTCTGCCCTTTTTTTTACGCGTGATAGTGATTACAGACACCGGCGGCTGCGCACAACTACGGCACCAGAATCGGCCCTTGTTGTGATCTCATAACAGCTTTCGCTGTAACATATATTCATTGCAGGCATATTAAGTATAGACATATATTTATCACTTTATGATACCAGCAAAAAAGCTTTTTGGGTGTGCTTTTTTTAAGTCTGTAATTATTACGTTGAGGTTTGACTGTAGTAGCATGTTGCTCATGCTCATTATTTTCTGTGCGCTATACAGTCCGGATTTTCTAGTTTGTGCATTGCTTTGTTTAGCTAGAGCAGATGTTCTAAGTTGAGGTGCGTAAATGTTTCGAATCGAATTCAACAATATCTAATAGAATAATTTTATTCGACTTTCGAATAGCTACTATTCAAAGTTTCCAATAATTTGACAGGATGAATATCTAAGATGTGGCAAATGCCCATGGTGCTACTTTGTTTGGGTGGGGTTGTTGAAACAAGCGTTAACATTGTTACAGTGGGTATTTTTTTTCAAAACAGTTTCAAAATCCAGAGCTGTGCTTGAAGTCGTCGAAAAGCCATCCAGCAAGGAAGTACAGTCTGGGAGAATGCGAACTGCTAGTGTAAACTATTTATCAGCACACTGAGCTCAGGCCTTATTGTGAAGGTTTTCAAAAATTGTTCAGTGAGCTCCAGATCTCACACAAAGATGATCGATCTAAATACTAGAAAAAGGGAGCTGTACTCTATTCAGGTATTGCCTAAATTACTTTTCGTTAGCTCCCCATCCTTGCTGCAGAAACCGTCAGTTAGCACATGTTTTCAGCTGAAGACAACACCATAACACTAAAGTAAGAGAGCCTGAGAGCAGGTCTTGTGGAATACAGTCGAACCCCGCTACAACGAAGCTGAAGGGGCGTGGAAAAAATTTCGTTTAAGCGAAAATTTCGTTGCAGTGAAATCGAGAAAATATAGCCGTTCTGAACTAGCAAAACAAAAGAACGTTTATTCTCAAAATTCAAAAAGTGTCTGCTGCTTTTTATTCTATCCCAGCAGCGTCACAACACGATTCTATGCACTCATGCATAGCGAGGCCATAATGAAAAGCACGCTGAAACAATGACTACAACTGCTTTCGTGAACGAACCTAGCAGTTGCACTAACGCGTTGACACCAGCAGCTGTCCGCTGTCTAAACACTGAGATGGCAGCAGGGTATTGTGGAGCGGTGACTTTTGTCTTATTTTATGCCATTTTTATCATCCATCACACTCGGCTAGCTGATTTTGTTGATAATGTAGACGAACAGCCGCTCTGATTAGTTATCACACTGGCCAAGCGCAAACAAAATGATAGGCATTGGAATCAGAAAAGGCATCGTTCCGCAGATGCACCCAGCAGCTGCGCGAAGGAAACCATGAACTAAGCAACTGAGCTTCAGCTTCGGATTGTCTGTGGCTGTACAGTAAACCCAATGCTTAATATTTTGATGCATTTTTAGAACCGGAAAATACGTCGACAAAGTCTAAAACACGCATTGCCACCACCAAAAATCATCGCTGTTCAGCAAGCATGGGTGCCGCCATTGCTCGATGGCGATGGCGATGGCGGCAAAAGCAGGGCAGTCTCATTGCCATCGCTGTCGAGCAATGGCAGCGCCCATGCTTGCTGAACAGCAATGGTTTTTGGTAGCGCCAACGCGTGTTTTAGACTTCGTCAACGTATTTTCAGGTTCTGAAAATGCATCAAAATGTTAAAGATTAGGTTTACTGTATAGCAATAAATGTCTGAGCCTGGAATGGCATCGTGAAACTTCGTTGAAGCGGGACGGCAGAAGAAAAAGTGTGCGTTGTGGCGACAATATTTATGCATTGACTCCTATGGACTGTTGACGGAGAATTGTGAATTTTTCGTTGTAGCGGGAATTTCATTGTAGCGGGGTTCGACTGTAGCTTGTGTTTCTGTTTGACAATCAGTAGTCTTTTGGTAGCAGTCCCTCGGCACGTTATGCACTTAAATACATGAGCAGATTTCATTTCTGTGCTCTTTCTTTCATTTTTCAATAAAATCTTTTGTATTCAATATTAATTATTTTGGCCACAATTTGGCACTGTTTCGATTCACATTACATGTGATGAAATTTCACTGTTCGCACACCCCCAGTTTTGGGCAAAGTGAGTTACGTATTAAAATCCTGTGAGTAACTTGAATTTGTCAGCTTTCGCCATCTCACTTTGGCATCAAATACAGTAGAATCTCGATGATACAAATTCGAAGGGAACATGCAAAATAATCGTATCATCCCAAATTTCTATGAACCAAAACAAGATACAGGTGATCATGAAGATGAATGATAACTTTATTTCGATCAACTACTACTTGCTGAAAAAGTCCATAATCTTTTGCACATTCCTGCTTTCGCCGTCCTTTAAGAACACCACCTGAAAGCCACAAAACCGTGCCGTGATTTCTTCACTCACGTTGCCGGCGCTTACGGTGCAGCGCAGGACATCGAGAGCATGGTGGTTTTCCAACGTCGACGGCAGGTCAAACACGTCGGCGTCTTCACCGTCACTGTTGGACTCTGTTGCCTTAATCTTGTCAACCGGTTCTTCAATAGATCGCAGCCCACAGGTCGCAAGGTTATCATCTGCACTAACGAAGTCTCTCGCCCAAGCTTCAGTTTCGAGATTCTTCGACCCCTCGATGTGCAAATCAGCGTCAGGTTCTTTGTTATCTCCTGTCGGAGCCGCATCTTGTCCCAAAAAAAATCCGCACTTGCGAAAACAGTTCGTGCATCGTGTCCTGCGTCACATTATCCCAGAAAATCGGAAGGAAATGCAGCGCATCCAGCCGACTAATCTTCAAGTTTTCATCCGTGCGCTCGATTTCGCCAGAAGCCTCCGCACACGCGATCCTTTAAAATGATGTTTTACATTTCGAATTATTCTCATGTCTAGCAGCTGTAGACGGCTTGTCATATTTATGACATGGCAACATTGTCAAATTTCAAGTCTTTTGAATGGGCTGAACACTGGTCGACGAAAATCAAATTTTTTGTTTTTTGCGGCCATTTTTCGGTCCAAAGTTGTCAGAAACTCGCGGAAAAACTCTGATGACATCCATGCTTTTTTTTTTCCTATGTACAAGCAAAGCAAACGTCCTGCTGATAGGAAGCACCTTGGTTGCTTTGATTTGCCTCTGACAGTAAGCTGTATTTTTTTTAGCTGTCGGTATTTATGCAAAAAAGCATGGTGACACACTTCTTACTTTTTTTACCACCCTGGCAAGCCTGGCCCTTCACACACAGGCTCCTCTCTGGCTGAAGGTTGAAAAAGTGTCCTGCCTCGTCAGGGTTGAATATGTCACTCGGTGCGTAGTTCGAAATCAGAGCCGGCAGCATGTTGAGCCAGTCGTTCAGCTGTGACTCGTCCCCTTTTTTTGCTTCACAGCTGACAACTCTGTAAACTAATCTGTGCCATTCTTTGAAATGGTGCAGCCATCCGCCGGAAGCTTGGAAGTTGTCGATGCCTAGAGGAAGCGCTATGTTGTTTGCCTTTTCGCGTAGCACCTTGCCGTCACTTCGCGAAACCACGCAAGCAAAACGTCTTTCAGCTTTGCTTGTGTGGCCGTCTTCGCCTGCTTCACGCTCGTACCAAAGTACGGGGCATTTATCAAGATTGCTTCTTGCTGCCCAACAATAGTGCAGAGAGTCAACAGAACTATGCCTAACTCTTTTGCCAAGTCAGTGGGCTTTTTCTTGGGTTCTTCGTCGACCTTTCTGAGAATTTCGATTTTCTCCTTGAAAGAAAGGGCCTTCTGCTTCCTAGACATAACTGAAAGGTGACACCGAAACAGGCGTGGTTTGGTCATATTTTAGTTGGGATGGCCGTTTTTCTGTGCAACTAACGATGCGAGCTGTTTTGGCTATCGGAGCGTGGCTGACTATCTTCCTAGTTTGGCAGCTCTATCCCGAACGTAATGAGAGCGTGAAACGTGAGGTGGAGGTTGGGAGTGAACAAAGAGCCAACCAAGGGAAAACCAGGAGGTGAGCCAAGTGTGTGAGACCGGGAATAAGCTGTTCTTATGCGTGAAGACTAATGTTGACTCTTCGAGTCATCGTTGCATAGCTCTGTATTTTCACCATGCGTCAGCTTGTCTACCGTGAACATGGCTTCCTTATGACATGAATGGTGAGCGTTAGGAGCACTTGAAGAACATCGTGGTAGAAAACCGGGTGGTGGACCATATATGCGAGACGAAGCATGAGGGGCATCAGTAGGGTGAGCAACGTCTCGTGTTATATGTTGGAGCGCGACTTTGAAAATGCCGACTTCTGTGCAGAAGAGAAACTTGGTGGAAAGCTATGTCTTAAGAAAAGAGCGTGAGCTGTGGCAGCTGAGGAGGATTGTCTCCAGATCGCTTATAATAAGGAAATCCTTGTCATAGTCATTAAAAGGAGCAACCATCTCTTCTCTTCTCTTTATGCATGATTCACCGTTTTCAAATATGTGCATGAAGTATAACTAAAAGGCCTCACCGGAGATGTAGTCAGTAAAGTTGGTGATCATCTCCCGTTCTCACCGAGATGCAGCAGCAGCGTGAAGCTCGAACAGGTCAAACCAGTCTTGTATGGGTCCATCGTCCGCTGCTCCAGTGTACTTGGGGATGGGAAGGTCAGTCGATGGTTCCATCATGATGCTTGTCAATGTGTGCAGCTAGGATATGCTTTTGTAATTCGTTTATCGTCAGGGCGTCTTATTGAAAACGTTGATGATGTGTGGCAGATGAAGCGGCAGGTAGGTCTTCATCTTGTCTAGAAGTGAGATGTGGCTTGGCTCATGCGCCATGTTTATTCCATTCTCACATCTTCCTTGTCTGCTTCTACAATCAGTTACTGCCTTCCTATGTCACATATATGTATATATATTTATTGTGTGTGTGATGTGGTATTTTTCCAAATTAAACAGTGTATCGTTTAAGTGTTGTTGGTTAGAGAAATTACTCTGAAAGCATGCTGGCACTTGTTTCAATATCAAATTTAGTTTAGACAATAAGCAGAGGTGTTTGTCTAAGGTGTTCGAAGCTCAATAATATTGTGCAAGTTTTCAGTTGTAGAAAATAAAAAACACTCATAAATAATACAATAAATATCTGTTATAAGACTCAATTTCACGCCAGCTCAGTATTGATTGACAACTCTGATACTGTCAAAAAAAAAAATTCACCTTTTCTGATTGAATCTAATGCCAACTAAATATTCATGAGTGCGAAATGAAAAAAACTTGCATGCCCCTGGGTTGATGATTGGAAAAAAATAGAGGGAGGCATGCACAATATGCAATTTTACAATGACATTTGGTCCAGAGCTGTTAGCTACGCAAGCTTGATCTGTACAAAGTAGCTTCAGCTAGTCGAGATCTAAATATTTTCATGTTTTCTCACTGTTTAAACTTCTCCTGGTTGACATGCAACTCAAGATCTGTTCCTTTTATTTCCTGCACCCACAGTCATAGGCCTGAAGCACGCAAAAAAAAAACATGGTACAGCTATCCTCAGTGCACAAAATAACTTTCCCTTGAAGTGAGCGTTCAATATAACAACAGCACATCACCGATTGCGCTTCAGAAGAGAGCAAGTAGGACGTGAACAGCTCAGTAATGCACGAAAGCATCTCACACGAGCTCACAATAAAATGTGCTTCACTTCCATTATGTGATGAGGATGACACTGTATTTTATGCCGGTGTCACACAGTCACTTTTGGTCGTGACCAGGCCGGATCCCAATAAAATTTTACAGTCACAGTTGTCTTCCTTACGCTAGCTGTGGAAGAGAGCCAGGCAGTGTTGAGAAATTGAGTCCTGATTGGGCTCGATTATGATGAACCATGCATTATGGGACACCGGCATGATTATCCTGACGGCATTCTTTTGCTTTTACGTCAAGCCAATTTTCTAACTCGATTTATCAGAAAGAAGATGTGCATTTTTTTAAGTTGAGCATAAACATTTGCTCACAACTGCTTCATTTAAATGCTTAAGTGCCATTTCCAAAAATACTTTGATGTATTTTCCTTCGACAAGTGCAGGGTTGTGCTGCAGGCACGATTATTCATGTGGTAGGTACCCATTTTTTGAGCAAGGCTTAAGTGCCAGCATCTCTATTCTTAGTTTATTTATTATATGACATTAGGATTACATGGCAGTTTTGCGTGGTCTCCTCAAAGTTGTATATAATCATGGTTCCACTCTAGTTGTTTGGAGCTGTTGCTTCACTTGCATATAAAAAAAACATTTCTCTTCAATAATGATGCAGGGGCGTACATCCCACAGTGTGACGAGGAGGGTTACTTCTTACCAGCCCAGTGCCACAGCAGCGCTGGCATGTGCTGGTGCGTTGACCGTCATGGCGCCGAGTTTGCCAACACACGCCGGAGAGACCGGCCCGACTGTGGTACGTATGCTACAGTGAACCAGTGTCATTCAAAAATAATCACACTCAAAGGGAAACTAAAGGCAAATATCAAGTTACATCAGGGTGAAAAATCAATACTTAAGAGCATCTAGAACATTATCTACAGCAGTGCTGTACGAATCAAGAAATTTAAGTAATTCTGCGACACCATATTTGCCACGAGTGGGACATTTTTAAATGATCCCAGTGGCATCAAGACTCCAGAGTACAACTATTCATTAGTAATTAAACGACTTGCAATAAAAAAAGAACTTTTCATGGTTTGCAGCCCATAATAAAAAGCTGTTTTTTTTTGTCTGTTTCTGTTTGATTCATGGAAAAAAAAAAACTGATTGCTATTGGGAACGGCAAGGGTGGTTCAAAAGTTCTCTTTTTGCTGAACTGGGTTTTGCTCTTGCGGTCCCATCTCAGTGGTAGTTTTGATATCGCGTACGGCTGGGTCGTCTTTGCACGCTCACGAAAGTCGCTGTGACAGAAAGTTTGACAAAATGCCACGTGCATGTTATGCTGTCGGGTGCCCGAATGGTGAATGCCACTGGAGCTGCAGCAAAGTAATCGACATGACTTACCATTGGGTGCTGCCAAACAAACCCCTACCCTTGAAGTAGCTGAATGGCATGCCTCTGCACCTATGTGCAAAACAGCCAAAAAAATATGCATGTGGGCTTTCTGCACTTTTGTGCAAAGGATTATATCTACCACAACTTCAGGGAGGCTTGCAATGTACCCTAGCTTCACAGTAAAGGCGGGCAACGTTGCACAAGGCAACTGATATGTCAGGCGGCCATTCAAGCGAGTGATTTGAAGTGCGCCAGCACCGCGTGGACCTCTAAAATGCTATTTTATTTCAAAATAAGCATTTCCTTGGCATCAAAATGGCACTAAGAGACCACTATTTTAACTGTTAATGTCAACTCACTATTTGTATTTAGTGTCCCTTAAGTTGTATTGCAAAATTGTTCATTCAGGCATTTCTTCCAATCTTGTGATATTCAAATTAACAAGCTTTTACTGTGTTCAATTTTAAAACATGCACACACACCCTAAATCTGAAGCATTTATTGTTGACCTGTCCCACAAGCTGTATGCAGCATGTTCAGAGTGAATTGAAGGCACGTTAGTCTTACAGATTTTGGTAGATTTTGAATTGAAGTCATATTAATGAAATCAAGTGCTAATACTTTTTAGCATCAACAAAATATGCTGTCCCACCTGCACAGATTGTCAGCTGATGCAAAATTTAGTTGAACCATAGTATATCAAGAATTACTGTCTTTGCAGAATCGCTGATGAACAAAACCAACCGTGACAAGTCGCTTGAAGATGACACAGAAGAGGACAGCGACGAAGTTAAGGACAAGTATGAAGGATCGGGAGACCGCATTCAGGACTTCTGAACATCCTTCTCAAAGAATGGCCGTTTGGGTCTCACCCGTTCCTTTGCCCCTCCCCCTTTACAATTCATCACCGTTTCTCCTTGATGCACCCGCTTGTTCTGTCGGTGATAGCAAGTGCAATAGTCTGGGCCTCGTCTCTTCTGATTTACAGCCAGGAACAAAAAAAGAAAGAAAAGAAAAAAATTGGGCTGTGATTGTCAAAAGGACTTGCATTTGTCTTCAACAGTTGTCCTTTCGAGTGTGTTTAATGTGAGAACTGACAGCAGTAGTGGTTCTAATATGGAAACATTGGCTTTACTTCTTGCAAGCTGCAGGTTTGTCTTTCATCAAAGGTGCCCTATGTTTTATTGTTACAATTGAAAAATCGTTTTTCTCGGTGGAACTGAGAACATTTTTGTTATTGTTACATTCAAGAAGTTGCAGCAGCGTAACTCAGCTGTCTCGGCAAATGGTCAAAATTTATTATTTGTTACCTCACCTTTTTAGTGTGGACTTCTTAGAAGTAATAATTGGCAGGTAAGAATTGTGCAAGGATGGTGTGCCGTTATATGTGATGTACAAGATTCTTTACAGTTTTTATTATTCGCACTGTTATGTTGCATTGTCGTAATCACCTTTATTTTGCAAGCTGTTACAGATAGGCTCAAAGCATCTGGTTTGAAGGTACGTACATACACTCTGTTAACCTATATATGCATTTTATTTACTCTGGGCTACTTACAATTGTCAGTGCTGATGATTTCAGCATGGTTCGCTCATTTCGTGGTTGCTTCTCTTACAATAATCTGAGCAACAATGTCTTAATTTTAGAGCATGGTTTAGTTATGTATTTACCTAGTTTCATCGTATCCTAGAGCGCAGGGAAGGACAAATGGGGCTACTTAAAGCTATTAAAATACCCAAGGCTGGCTTTTACAAAGCTTGTAGTGTATATTTTGGGTATGCCTGTTTGAAGCTAGGGCATACAAATGTCTTTTAAAAACTTGTTTACTGTATTTTTTTAAATATGTGCTGTGCTCTACGGGAATACTCTTATAGTTTTGTCCATATTTGTCAACAGTGTATTTATTATTAAGCAAGTATAACATTAATGACTGGCACATGTTTAATGCTTTGCTTTTATGTGACCCTTAGTTTTATTAACACCCTATGTCACAATTTTTTGGTTTTTGTTGATTCTCCTTATTTTTCAAAAGGCTTAATTATGTCATGTGGTGGAGCCTATTTTGCTTACTCTGTGGACCCATGTGTTTATAATGTGCCATTGTTGCTTTCCTTGTTTTGTTTGTTCACATTCTTAATGTTCCTGAGTCATAATATGCTTATGTTTGTGTACACCGAAAAAGTGTGAGTCTTTTAGCTACCTATGTTTGGTAGAATTCGCACAAAGCCAACAGAATCCATGTCTTCCATTTAAGTTGAGTGCCACATGTATTATCTTTGTTGAAGGTGTGTTTGTTCAGCTTTGTGTTTCAGCCTATGAGAATATCGGTGGCTCTCATTGATGCTTATTTTCTATAACAGTCACAAGCTTCTACAGTGTTGTGTTTGCATTTTATGGTTGTTTATGGGGAAGGATTTTGGACTGAAGCTGGAAAGAAAGGTGTAAATGCAGTTCTAACTACTTTTGAATCTCGCTTGTTTCACAGCAACGGGCTTATAAGATTGCACACGCCTATTAGTAAGCTGTGCTCCAGGATGCCGATTCAGTGATTGTACAAAGTCTTCTGTGATAATAGGCCAGATTTGACCGCAGTGGTTTGCCGAATCTCATATTCTTTCTTGCACATACACCAATATTACATCCTTTAGTAACTGTACAATCTTTTAGTTAGGATCACCTTGTGTTGATCTGGTGTATACAAGACTGATTCAAATGACTGCATGGGGCATGGGGGCGAATTCACAAGATGCTTGCTTCGATTGTGCTAATATTAGCATGCATCAATATAGCTGGCATCAACTTTTTTTTTCTGAACAGTTGTTTGCGTATGAGAAATTTTATGTAAGCAATGTAATTTTCAGGCTGATAATTTTTCCATTCAGTATTATCATTCCTTGAGCATTTAGTAGAGAATTTCAAACGCAAGTCTGTGAGGACAGCTCTAGCTTTCTGTATATATTTATTTAAATTCAGAGTCCTTCTCATGAATCAGTTTGTCTTTTTTTGTCTTTTTGTTCAAAACGCTTAAATTAAACAGTTTCATTTATGCCTTTCGATTCTCATTTTTATTATCAATAAATTTACCTGTTATCAACATTCTGTTTATCAGGATATGGTTCCATGCCAGCAGTCAGCCTGACCAGCTAAACTGTGCAGTTTGAAACATGCTAAGGCACAAGAATTTGAAAACTCTCAAGTATTAATCTCATAGTGATTATGTTACGAAACAGTGATGTCTGTTTAATATTTTTTTATTTATTTGATACTGTCAACCTCGTGCTTGGGGTCATTACAGGGAGGGTGTGACAAAGTACATAACGTTCGCACAAAAAAGAAAAATTCAAAAGCACATATAAATACGAGATAAATAACCAACAACAGAAAAATAAGAAACAAACAACATTGACTATACACATAAAAATCAACAAATAAATGCTCACAACAGAATTTTGCACACATCACTACAAAGTAAACTGTAATGCATTTTCAAAAATCACTGACGTTGTTTGTTGCACAACTGCATTGGGTAAACTATTCCACATATCTATTGTGTCTGGGAAAAAGGAGTGGCGGAAAGCATTTGTGCGTGTGAAATAAGGTTGAATTGCTCTACTATTATTAAGACGATCACATCGCCTTCCAGGGGGCTGAAGATATAAATTCTTATTTATTTTTGTTTGTCCACTTATAATCTTCAAAAGAAATTGGAGGCGATGTTTGCACCTGCGATATCCCAAACACTCAAGCTCACAGGACTTTAACAAAGCTGCGACTGAGTGTGTGTGTCGGTATCTACCGCATGTGAAACGGACTGCTAATTTTTGTATTCTTTCAATTTTTGTCCACAACACCTTCTGGTGAGGCGACAACACAATACTAGCATACTCCAAGACAAAAAAACTGTATTTCCTAAAGAAAAAACTGAAACATGCCACACCTGATGTAAAACTAACTGCTTACAAAACATTCATACTGAATGACGTATGAATGTTTTGTAAGCAGTTAGTTTTTTCTTTAGGAAATACAGTTTTTTGTTTGCCTTAGAACAGATGTTTGCCTTAGAACAGATGATAAGCGAGTACCATTTCAATGTGTGCATAATACTAACTCCTAGGTACGTATTTGAAACAAGCGGCATTATTTAAAAGGTGACTTCCGATGTGATACATTCCCGCCCTCTAGAGTGGATATGAGTAAATGTTGTCTTGCTATAGTTTATTTTCTTGTCCCATATTATACACCACTGATCTAATGCCTGTAAGCGCCTGTTCAGATTAAGTTGGTCACCTTCGCAAGTAACGGGGGAATAAATCAAGCAGTCATCTGCAAAACGTTTCATTTTAATAGGAGCCTCAACTATTTAACATAGATTATTAAAAAATATCAGAAAAAGAATTTGTCCTAAAACAGATCTTAGGGGAACGCCCGAGTACATGGCCAGTGGTCTTGAAGTGTAATTTTCTATATAATATTAGTAAATATCTTGCATATAGACAACTTTGCCTTAAAGTCTGTTCACCTACCAATGTGCCCATAGAAAATGGAATGAAGGCATGTTGTATGCTAAGCTTTTTTTTTATATTATAAATCATATATATTATGTTTCACTATAAGGTTAGGGTTAGTGATCAGAGAATTTATTAGTGCATTATTCTGAGGGCACTATAAATAACTTTTTTTAGGCACGAAAAGCATGTTTCATGTATAATTTCTCTTAATAACTTCTTCCATAGTGTATTGCACAAGTGTTGTATGCTAATCTGTTTTAGACAAACATTGATTACCTTGTCAAAGACCTGAGTTTATATTTGAAGCTTTCAAATTGCTTGTCATGCAAGATGCTTGCCGTATGCATTTATGGGCATGGATGGTAATAATGGCATCATTAACCTTGAATCAGCTTTATGCACTTTCAAGTTTCTAATGTGTATCTCTCGAGCCCGTTGCTTGTGGAACAAACCTTCGGTGCACATTTGGAGTTTCTTTTTTTTTTTTATGTGTGGAAGCAGAAGGTACATTCCAGTGAAGACTGAAAGAAACTGCTGCCGTTGGTATAAGAGTGCATAGATTTTGAGGGCTGGTATGTTGGCTGGTAAGTTTGCTATGGCCTTTGTTTATTGTTCCCTGGCTTGGCTTGATGTCTCTATATTCATTTTCCTTCACTTGTGTGCAGAAGGCATAGCAGAAAAAGTGAGAACTGCCTTAGTGATAGACCTTTACCTTTTTTGTGCATGCTGTTTGTTCTTTGGCCGTATGAGCAGGAACTACTATGAGCCTTTGTGTGAAATCTTCATGTTCTGTACACATGTTTTCAGCACTTACAGCACCTACAGAATTAGCGCATGTGCAGAATTTTAGTGTGGGCAGGCTATTTGTGATCTGTGCACCTGTTTTACTGCATTTCCTGTCCCTCCGTCTTGACCTCCAAGGCTGGGGGATGACTTTTGAGGGTGTACAATTGTGTTCTCAAAAGTCTTGTGTTGGTGTTCCAATCTGCTCAGAAGCTGAGCATAGTCTGACAAAGCAGATGCTGTTGTATTTCTCATTGTTTTTGTGACCCTTAGATACAGGTTTGAAACTGTAAAATATTGAAAAGTGAGAATGCCAAAAAAAAAATCCACTTAAGCCCAGTATTCAAAACAGCAATTTTTCAATGTATGCCAACCACCACTAGCAAAAAGCTGGGAACTGTATCATTGTTGTGCTGTCAAGTCCTTTATGTGGCCGAGCTGATGTTCGGCTGAAACAAGGGGACCCGTACGTTTTGCTGTTATTACTGTTAAAATGCCAATGCTTGTCTCTGGCTTAGCTGTCTGAAATATGTGAAAATCTTCTTTGAGCAAATTTTGTGATGTCGAAACTGCACAAAGAAAGTTGCACCAAGTGTCTGCGAGTATTCTCAAGCATACTTCATTCTCTTCTGTTTTTGGCTGCCAATATTGTGTGATGCCTTAAGTTTTGCTTGCAATTGGCATGGTCTGTCTAGGGCACATAGTGAACGTGGAAAGTAGTGTATTGCCATTTTTCTCTACTTAATGGAAGTTGCTTGGGACATTTTATCAGACGAGTGACTCGAAGGATTAGTCCTGGGCTTAATGGGACTAGTGGATGGTAGTCCACAATGCATAACTAGCATCTTTGTTTAACAAAGTGTAGCAGTACAAATGTCTTCTTTTCTTATAAGTGCCATCCGATGTTTTTCTGTATGCATTTATGCCACATGTATTTACTACTTGCATATGGTCATGGTAACCATTATGTAACAATGTTTTTGTAGGCTGTGATGAATAAAGTACTACTACGAGACGTACATTATGTAGTGTATGACCTAGTGTATGTGTAATCCATACAATGAAAAGTAATTTGTATACAGGTATAAGCCATTGCACAAACATAATGCTGTTCATTTTGCAGACATGCACCAGCACGTTGTCTGCATGACGGAGGCAGCGCACTGTTGTTTCTCTGCCTTGATCTAGGAATAAGAGTTTACCAGTTCAATGTGCGGCATCTTGTTTACCTGCTGCTGTCTGTCATGAGCACTTGCGCATCTAAGGCGATTGTACAGTGCTGCACTCGCAAAAGTTCGCAATAAAGGAATAAAGGCACACGGCTTTCTGCCAGCTAGTGTCGAGTCATTCTGCACTATATTGAACATTGCTATTGCCAAGAAAGAATTTATGATTAAGCCCCACTTCTTTTGTGCATAAACTTGTAGTACTGTAAAACATAAAGAGTTTAGGGAAGGCCTAGTGTTCTTCATGTCCATTACTTTTTTAGTACTACAGCTCGTCTTCACAAACTAACGTGATCATCCGAGGATGGCGATGCTCATAACCATCGGGTAAGCTGGTACTTAAGTGATGCATTGGTCACGGAAGTACCATTATTCTTTTTTTTTTTCTGCTAGGCCTTCGTCATAAATGCGACTTTTTTTCTCTAATGCATGTTCTGACTGATAGTGTATAGTATTCATTATTGACGTGCATACACAAGCAGTGCCATAGGTCGTGCAGAAGAGAGGATTATGGCAAAGTGGAGGAAGTCATTCTTAAATGAGAGAAAAAAAAAAAGATTAAAGTGAGCCCCGCAACTGTCTGCATCTATAAGTGCGACACCTCAGCAGTTGCTCACGAGGGAATGGCATAAGGAGAGATTAAAAGGATAAGAGATAAGTAAAGATAAGAAAGAGAAGAATGGGGACATGGTCGAAGGAGTCCGAGGACGGGGCACCACTCGGCCAGACCTTCACGGCGTCAGGAGATGGCGAAGGGCGAACCGGTCGGCCTGTAACTGCGACCGCGATCTGCGCTGTGGTCTCAGATCGCGGGGGCACAACCGTTCGGTACGGAATCCGGCGACCGAGTCCGTATCAAGAAGGATTTAAAAAAAAAATGCTGGAGTAGAAATGATTCAATAAACAATTTTATTGGGCCAGTTGGTATGAATCCAATTCGGTAGGAAGCGCAGCAACTATTACACGGAACACATAACACACGGTTGTGTTGTGAGTTGTGTGTAATAGTTGCTGCGCTTCCTACCAAGATGGAAATGATTGCCTAGGAGTGAAGCTACAGCAAAGCCGTGCCTGTGGCAATATGGCGGCTGCGGCGGCTATTTTACTAGCGGCATGATAAAGTGTATTACCGTTCAGCGATTAAGAACGGAGCGTTTCCCTCACACGCCCAATGAGTATAATGTGGAAACTCTTTCGCGTCACATAGAGAAAAAGTGCGTTTAGTGTTACTAGTTTCTCTTAGTGAGCCTCTAATTGGAGGCAAAGTTTTGGGAAATTCAGTCACCCATACTCGTTTCTGTACGCGTGTTATTTCGTCGGGAACAGCTCTTTTAAGATAGAAATTACATACTAGCATATCAAAGCCACTTAATCTCTAAGTGGCCATTATCGGAAAAGAGCATGTTTCCGCCATCTTGGCAGTGGCAAAAGCTGGCTTTACTTTTGTTGGCAAAGCTTCCACACCAACACCAGCTATATATATATATATATATATATATATATATATTTAATCTTATGAGACCACGTCCGGTACGGCAGCAACCAGGTTATCCTTTTTTAATCCAGACGCACGAGCCAGAGAGCCAGCCCGCGTGACATACGATGATGATCACTACAATGGTTTGGTCATACAGATGAAGATGAAGTACATAGTCAGCGCTCACAATATATATATATAGCCTGCTCACGGGTGGTTATTTTTTCACCCACTTTTCTTTCTTCTTATTTACATTCCATTGGTTCTAATAACTTCCCCTGTACATTGCTTGGCATTACTGCCTGTTAGATCTCATTAATATTGTGTCAAAACACGGAAAAACGAGCCCTTATGTATACACTTCTTTCCCATATATATATATATATATATATATATATATATATATATATATATATATATATATATATATATATATATATAATAATCCTCCGTATGGCAAAGTGCAGAATCGTGCGTATATAAGTAGCTGCATGTAGCATGAACAATATTTTTAGAAAGTGGCTCACTGCAACTGTATCAAATCAACATATGATTGCCTTCATGGGGCTTTCATTATGCTATCTTTATATTGTGGTTGATTAGCTGAAGGCTATTATGGAAACCTTATTTATTCTCTTTATAGTCAGGTGCGCTTCCTTACATTGCAGTGTGCATTCCGAAAATAGCAGTACAGTTTTTTGTGGCAGTGTATACATGCTCTGTGGAGATTTCCCTGACGTTTAAAGAGAGCCCGCCAAATATGAAAAGCGTGTGACGGCATTTGTGCGCTACTCGGGAGCGGCGGGTGCGAAAGAGCATCGGGGCACACATGCGCTACTTGACAAAGAACTCTTGCAAGGGCACGATTGCAAATTTAACGTGCCAAGACGACGAGGGCAGGATTCTTTGTTGACACAACCTTCATGAAAACCTGCATGTAAGGAGACGTTAGCTGGTCTGTTTTAAGTGTACTCTAATAACTGCGATACAGATGTGAAGAAAGTAAAGTGGACAAAAAGACAACTTGCGGCCACCAGAGTCTGAACCTGTGATCTCCGGATCCGATCGATCTCGGAAAGCAGTCGACACCATATGCTCGTCCTCAAACGGTACAAACGTCCTCGTCCTGATAATGGTCTCTGAAGATCGTTTGCAGGATTATCTTGAATATGTTCTCATGCGGACGAGTTTAGGACAGCAACCAGCTTGGCTGTTCATCAAGGGAAGTTACAGGATTCGCCATTTGACTGCAGATTTATTATAAAAAACATTGCTGACGCACACGTTTTGCCTTATTTCGGATGTATCATAATGGAGTCGACGTGGCTATGGTACGCAATGCTTAGGGTTAATAAACGATGATTATGGCGGTCTGTGAGGTGCTTATACTGTGTGGGGTGTGCAGCCAAAAAGGGGTTCGTTAGCCAACATTAATGAGAGTAATCTGGTGTGGACTCCTGAAGAGTTCTGGCAATTACCTCTACTTACACCGGAGGTCACTCTTCATGAACAGAATTCGCGACTTCCTTCCATACTGAGAATTGAAAGTCGCATGGATGGATTGGCGGTTATTGCTGTTTCATACCGATTTCGTACCTCTTGTATTCTATCATGTTTCAGCTTATCTCCCCGTGCAGATGGTAATAGCAGTTTATGAAGTGCTCGCCTTTGTATTTGGCCTCACTTCCTCTTTCAATCAACTTCAGCATACACTGCAGCCTCAGAAAGTGCTGTAGCTGAAGCCAGGGTGGCATGGGCCGAAAAAAAAGGGGATTTCTTTCCAATTTCTAATCTGCATTTGAAATAAAAGTTTAATGACCAAATGCAATTTACGAAGCCGAATGTTTAAGCGATAATTTTTGCAAAAAAAAAAAGTCCATTTTTATAGTTGCAGCTCTCCTTAGTGATACAGCATAGGTTTTAACTGCGGCGCATAAAATGATGACATAATGTAAAGGAATGAAATTTGATCAAAAATTGACTCGCTACTGGAAAGGGCCAAAGATAGAATCATGGGATAATGCTTTCAATGCTTTGCCGACTGAGCTATATATGAATCATATCATATATGTTGGTCAAAAGAGCAAGTTAAGGGGAGATGCAATTAAGAAAAGTTGCCTTAATCTGCAGTCGGGGGAAATGGAGTTTTCATTGTATATATATGCTTTTATGCTGACTTCAAATATGTGATCGGTTTTAGAGTGAGTTGCGCAGTTTTCGTTTGATGTCATGACGATGTGTAAAGTATAACTTTTTTGGACAAACATTTCCTGCCGCTAAGCTTTTATGGTTCTGAGCTGTTATGGCTCATATTGCTCTACATGAACAATATAATGTAAATAAATATGGAAAAAGTAGGTATAACACATTTTAATAGAGAAAAAAAATTGTAATGAGAATTTTTTTTTAAAAACCTCAGTTCATACTACCTGCTTACTTTGGGTTTATAACAATTGTACAGACGATATAGAGTTTTGAAGAAAACACTTGCACCTGTCACATATTAAGGAATGTGGGGGCAAAATTTAATCCCAATCGGCTATCAGAAGTACTCAAAAATGCCGCCTGCACCTTCCCACGGGGGGAACTCGAGTAAATGCATCGCAGAGCGTGTGTGTGTGGGGGGGGGGGGGGGGGGGTATCACGTGAATGTTGCATAATTCAGTGTGGTTTGGTAATGCTTAATGGTTATTTTGTCTTTATTATTCTTATTTATTCAAAGAAGGAGAAGCGTTGCCTTCAACGAGTGGTGGTACGTTGATGTGCGTTCCAGTGCCTACATGTACGGGGTGACCAGTGAATGGTTGTGCAGCTTGAGCAGTCGGCTTTTACAGGCAGACGCTGCCTGCGTCAGCCTTGCGAGGCAAAAGAGGGGGGGGGGGGAGCAAATAGTTGGCACGAGACGCAAGCATGCGGCACGAAATGCAAGGCCCGAGCATGCGCAGCGGGGATGTGGACAACGCCTACGCACGAAGCGTGACATCGTGCGACTAAGAAATTCTCCGCATTTAAAACATGATTTCCAAACTCAAGAAGTTGCCCATAAGTGAATCGTGAGAAAAACTCATTTTAAACGTATAAGTGAAAGGTCGTCTATGCAGGAAATATTTGTTTTTTTATATGATTTCTTCCATAATGAGGGCTTGGCAATCGTGGTTATTTAGAACATATCACTTTAGTTAACTCCTCATACGATATGCAATGGCAAGCAGCCAGGCGACAATTTCCACGGGACTTTAATAAATTAGCTTTTTTAGGGGCGAAGCTCCTAAAGCCGCGAGTCTGTAGATGCATATGTCTCTCTTGGTACGTGACCTCCTAGTTCTACGACTCACTCAGCAGGTACGGACGGACGGACAGACAGACAGACGAATGATTCACGGTTTAACTATAAAACCCCCCGAAGCTTAGCCCCACTCATCATCATCATTAACTCCATGGGTATGCTGTAGTTATTATTTTTAGTGTTTAGTAGCCAGCTTTAACGTACTTCGAGTTCAAATACAAATTTCAGATTTTTTTTGTCGAGAAAGTAGAGAGTCTAAACTTGTGAAAGCAAATAAAAACAAAAATACATATTTTGAAGAAAAAAAACTTCCATTTTTCGACTCGCATGTCCCTTGACTGC